CATATATGCTGTGTACCACTTGCAATCTAATGTGATGAGAGCTTTAGTATAAGTATGCTTTTATTTTTGTTATTTAATTCCTCTGTTTTTCATTTGTACTTTAGAATAGCTTTGCTTTTGGAAATACAAGACGACTACTGGCCTGAAACAAAAAGCGAACTCACTAACACTTGTTCTTAAGAGCTTCGCTTTCAGCACGTGTCCTGAGATTAATAAATTGCTGTTGTTAGTAATTAGATAAAATACATTTTAGTCATTTCTAGTGTTGCAGTAGTCATTTGTACTTTACATTCCTAATAATGGCCTTGAATAAGTGAGCAAATTAATCAGGAAATGTTTTATCTTCCTGTCTGCTTGCCTTTAAATATATGAGCCAAGGAGTAGTTGTTGAGAGCTTTGGGCTAGAAATACTGACATTCTTGATGAGTTTGAGTTTCAGGTGGAAATAATACGGACATTCTAAAGCAGGGCATCTCAGTCTAAAGTCCCTTTATGAGCTTCAGAAAGTCCCTGAACTGATGGGGGGAAAATCCCCAACCCCAAAAAGTTCCTTCAGTTTCTTCCTTGTAATTTTTAAAATGGACTTTCTGGAACAAAAAGGTCAAATAATATTAAGGGATTGTTTTAGTCCAAACAAGTAGAGGGGAGTTATGGGATGCTACTGTATATAGTGAGGCAGTCTATTATCCTGTTACAGCAAATTGCTGATAATTAAAGAGTTCTTTTTTCAGTTTTGGGGTGTGTGGAACTTGGTATCATCACATATGAGTGACATACATCCCAAAATTGTTTTTAAAAAAAGCTTTATAATTAGGGGTAAGCTGCTTCTGGTGGTGGTGGTGACATTACTCCTGTTGCACAGGTAGAGCTCAACAGAATACCAGCCAATGTTACTACGCAATTACATCTAAAGTAGTTTCCCATAGGTTTAATCAGATTTCCCAGAGTGGTCTATGACCCCAGAAAGGTTACAATCCAGTATATTAAAGAATATGCAGTGTTGCAAAATGCTTTGTGAAACAATATGCTACCAGTTTTAATGTTTGTATAATGTAGACTGCTACTTCCATAGGAAATATTAAATTTTTCTTGTTACAGTTACCCATACACTTCATAATTCCATTTTAAAATTAGGAACAAGGATAGATAGGTGGAAAATGACTGTGCCACCTGCCTTTCTGCCTTCTAAACTTAAAGGGGTAAAGATAATGCCGTATGACCTATAATCTGAAGTATCTTCTACTTTGAATGTTAATAGTGTCCTTTGCAGGTTTAAAACTAAGCAGCGAGTATACAGTACTCCAAAGCCTTAGTGTGATTGTGAGGGGGGGGGGGTTTACCTCAATAGCTCTCAGCAGGCCATCTGACCCTGCCCCACAAATCCCAGGGGAGCCTGAGAGAGAGGACGTATCCTGTGCCCCTATCCAGCAGGGATGTGCCACTGCAAGTGGAGGAAGGGCCATCACCTGAGGCAGGACAGCTGGAGGAGGGTGCAACAGTGGGACCAAGAGGAGAGGAGTTTCAGAGTTCAGGGTCATCATCAACCATGTGAGATGAAGGGGGAGACAGTCGAGCACTGGGACCCCATCCTCTGTGCCTCTGGAAATATATAAACAGGGTTAGAGGACAAGGAAAGCCGCCTCCTCCTGCCCAGCCCGTTCAGCCATGGAAGAGATTGGGGAATGGAGGTTCTGGCAACACAAGCTCCAGGTGACCCAGCATCGCCCCAGCCTTGGGGCCCTTGCCGCCTGATGGGACCTGTGGAGCCTCTCCCGAATCCAGCTTCAGCACTGGAGATGCAAGCAGCAACAAGGGGTGGCACCACCGCAGAGCCCAGCCCCCATCGCCCACCTATCTGAAAGGACTGTGCCCTAGACTGGGACTCATGCTTCCTGCTTGCTTCTCCAGACCTAGACATTTTGGAAACCCCAGTGAAGCTGGACTGATTTTGCCCAGGGAGTTAGTGCTGGAAATGTAACCTCCTGGGAGCACAGAGGAAGAAGCCGTAGGGGCTGCCTCTGTGGCTTTAATAACAGCTGCCAGAAGTAAATCCTTGTGCAGCCCCAAGCTTGTAAGTGGAAATCAGCAACCTTAGTTTCCAAAGAGGGTGTATATATTTGGCATGACAAGTTAGGAGGGAAGTAAATGGCCAGTTATTTCATTTATTAGAGCTTTCATTAAACTACAGTACTTAAATCTGAATAAAGTAAAGTAAAAGTAAAGTATAACAGCTGAAGCTTTTCTCCTCTGTGTTACTTGGGTAAATGGTTAAATTTGCTTGGTTGAAAGACGTTAATAGCTCCCCCTGTTCTTAACCTTGCTAGATCATGTTGGGGGCTTCGAAAGTGACATAAAGCAATATATCTTCCAGTAGCAGTGTTCCAATAGTACAGGGAGACCAAAGGAGAAATCTCTAGGGGCATCTCACTGTTATGCTGTTTGCTGAAGCAGCTCCCAGAAAACTGATTGATATTCTGCACCTTCTGTCTTCTCTTTCCTTCTCATTTTCAATGCATTGGTACTCTTTGTTTTGCTGCTTGTTCCATTAAATCTTACACATTTTCTCAAGCATACAGAAGGTGCATCCTTAATACCCTTACAGAAAACCTGTGCCCGAGTAAATATGCATAGAATTGTTCCTTAAAATACTGAATGGGCGATATTGCATTGAATTTGAATATGGAAGTTGTTGCATCATTGGCCACTAAATGTTTATAACTTAAGCCCTATTCAAGCATTATTCACCTAGATCTCTGTAACACATGAAGAAGGAAACACCTAGTCCCTTCCTTCTGCGTCCATGCTTTCTCCAAACTGGTGTGTCTGCAAAGGAGACATTATTGCATTTCCTAGGGACATAGACTTTTCTGACCACATGAAAAAGGAACAGTAGAGAAGAGAGGGAACTGGATGTTTCCTTGGATGAAACGATCTAAATAATGTCTGTAGAGGACTGTGGTAAAAACAGGATTCAGCTGTCTGAAAGTATCCAGAAAATTAAATTGTATAATCAGGACATATTTGTATCATCCTGCAAATGTCAAGGTGGCTTTCATAATATATATCAGGTACAAATGTGAAGTAATATGGCCTATTTTTTTAAGTATATACAGCTGTACCCCTCATATCTAATACACATATGATGTCTGTATTATTGTGTTTCATTTGGTATTGGAAAAATACTAAGGTAAAGGTAAAGATTCCTCTTGACATTTAGTCCGGTCGTGTCTGACTCTAGGGCACGGTGCTAATCCCCGTTTCCAAGCCATAGAGCCAGTGTTTGTCCGTAGACAGTTTCCGTGGTCACATGGCCAGCGCGACTAGACACAGAACGGCGTTACCTTTCCACCGTGGTGGTACTTATTTATCTACTCACATTTACATGCTTTCAAACTACTAGGTTGGCAGGAGCTGGGACAAGTGATGGGAGCTCACTGTGTCACGTGGATTCGATCTTACAACTGCTGGTCTTCTGACCTTGCAGCACAGAGGCTTCTGCGGTTTAACCTGCAGCAGCAGCACCACCACCACCACCCCTCTCTCTCTTCTTTTTAAACTATAATCTGGTCATCAGTTGTCAGAATCCTGTTAGCTTCACACATTTGCATAATGCAACTAGCAGAAATCGGGTTGGTTAACTGCCATAAGTTACAAAATTATCATAGGCTTCTGCTTTTGTATGCAAGTCATGTGATTCTGTACAGTAGCATATGCTTACCATGACTTTTAGTTATCCACCAATGAGATTAATGCCAGTGGAGTAACACCAGTGTAAAAACACAAGACGTTTACCAATATCTACATGTTCATATTATCTCTTGGAGAGGATACTGGAGAATATTCCAAGAACTACATCTTGAATGGAGTAGGGCTTTCAGAAGATGGTGAGAGGGAGACAACTCACTATTTCCAGAAGCAAGCACATTATACGGAAGGAAAGTGGATGCCCTGAGATGTTTGAAACAAGATTGTATAATCACTGTGGACACCATTGTAGCTAGGTTGTTGTTTTCCACTACATGCACACTTTTAACCACCAATCTCAAAGATTCATAGGAGGTTTATAAGACACTTTCATCTTCAGTCACAGACAATGGCAAAAAAAATTGCAGTATTAATGTAGTAAATTTCACTAGCGTAACCACACTGAATCAGTGGGGATTTGGTGAGTCAACTCCTCTGTAGGTTCCATTTATTTATGGGGGTTTACTCTAACTGTGTCATATTATGCTAAACCACAATAAGTAGAACTTATGGAGGAGTTGACTAGTAGACCTACTCAAGTGCAAGTTACTACACTCAGCAATAGGATTTTGGCCACTGTCCTTCCAAATGTGTTTGACCTTCGATGAGGTCAAGAATCAGAATTATAAGTTTCATCTATTCTTATTCCTGTACTTGTTCTTTATCATACAAAATATAAACTTTTTTCACCCTTCTTTACTATCTTATCACATGCGTACTTTTATGTGCATATGTGTTTGCCATGGAGGAAGAGTAGAGCTACATAGACATCTTTAAATGGTTCAGGGATTTAAAATTAGCAAAACTCTGAATTTAAACCAGAGAAATTTGAATATTGTCCTTTGTTTAAGCAAAATATTTTTGAAATCTAAAGCTTTATTTCATCTACAGAAATAGGCTTTGCTGTATTCCTACATTTCATGATTAAGATGTATGAGTTCATACTGAAATTATTCTTGTCTTAATAATGAAAGCTGTACTGATTAATTGTATGACTATGGACTTGAATAGCAATAACATTCTATAGCAATGTTCTAAACTTAAGGTTATTAAATTGGTACATGGTACCTTGGTAATAAGACAAGTTGAGTAGTACCAGTAGTGACAGCAATTTTAGATGTGGATTAATCATCTCACAAATTTAGTTTGGCTGGGAAGAAGTTCATTCTTAATCTGGGCAGGTATTCAGTTGTTGCCTCGTATGTGAATATTGTAATCTAATGATGCATCTCTGTTTGAATGTTTTTGCAGGCACAGGAGAACTCGGCAAAAGCACATTTATCAAACAGATGAGAATCATTCATGGTTCAGGATACTCTGATGAAGACAAAAGGGGGTTCACAAAGCTTGTGTATCAGAATATATTCACAGCAATGCAGTCAATGATCAAAGCCATGGATACTCTCAGAATCCCATACAGCTATGAACATAATAAGGTAAGCTTTGTATTTTCAATATATATTGTAGTATTATTTCATGTATAATTCAGAGAATTGAGTTGGCTTTGAATTCATGGATCTGGTAAAAAAAACAACAATGTAATTTAGAGGGCTTCTAAAACTTCCTTCAGCAATTCTGAGTTTAGGGGCACCAGGCTCCCCTGTAGTTCAGAATCTCTATAACCCCCATCAACAACAACTCCCCTCATGTGCACACAATCAGACTCACAAATACACACTCTTCTGCACGGGGATGGACACACCTGCTCTCCTCCAACTCCAGCAGCGGCAGTAGCGGCAGCATCAAGCGGGAGCAAGCAAGTACACCCTCTGTCTGTTTTATAAGGGAAAACAAAATAAAAATAAAGATTTAAAAAAAGACAAAAACATGGAGGCACTTTAAAGACTAGCTTTCTTGTTTTTTAATGTGAGCTTTCATAGACAAGACTTTCTTGTTTTTTTAATGTGAGCTTTCATAGACAAGGGCACTTCATCTGTCTGTTGAATGGGTGCAACAAAATGCACACACAAGGCATGCACAAGCAGTGGGGATGGCTCTCTCTCTCTCTCCTCTCTCTCTGTCTCTCTGTGTGTGTGTGTGTGTGTGTATTTTGCACCAGTTTTTTAATTCTTCCTCCTCCTCGCTCTGCTTTGAGTTTACCCCATCTTCCTCTTCTCACTGCAAGAGGAGGTTGTCAGCCATTACTTGGAACTACCATGCCAGGAGAGCATTTTTAAAAAAAAATCCTTGTATAACCCAAACCGCACTGCTTGTAGTGGTGCAAGTATATATTCTTCCATCTAGCTGTAGAAGATGGAGGAAAGACAACTACAACAGATGTTCAGTTTTCTGTAACACTGTTTAAGAAATTGCTTTTCTCATAATGCTAGATGCTAATCCATTCTGGGTTGAACTACAGACTGGTTTACATAAGTGAGTGCACATAATTGAATATTGTTATCTCCAAGCAGAAAATAAGCAAGCATCCATCATAATTGCTTGCTAATGCGTGTGTTTTCTGTATGGAAGCCATCTTCTTGTGTGGAGGCATGTTAGTTGTGTGACCTTACATTTGCGCTCTAAATTGGTATTGTGCAGACGCAGATTTACAAATAACTAAATGTTTGTGTTGCATCTGTTTTTGCTCTGTTAAAATAGAATAGATCTGTTTGGATTTTTGTTTTGGGAACCTGGCAGCAAGTCTGCCTAGTGTAAGGGATATAGTTAAGAGGCAGAGTACTGACTTAATATACAGAACATCCCATCCTTCATCTTGGTCATCTTCAGAAAGGGCTGGAAAACCTGCTTCATAGAGTTTGAAAAGATTGTGCCTGTACTGATAGTAATGAACTACATTGACAAAAGGTCTGTTTCAGTACAAGGTAGCTTCCAGTGTACCTATACCAAGCTCTACTGAAGTGAATAATGCCATTTTTATCTACAGTGCTAGATAACTGGATGGATCTTTCAGTATTGCCTGCTCTAGATGACTTCCACTACATGTAAAATGATTCCACAGGGTATTGATAGAGATGTAAAATTTCCATTTTGTTCCAGAAAAAAATAACAGGGAAAACATTTTATTTTTGTCCAGAAAAAAATTGAAAGTCCTGGAAATTTTACATCTCTAGGTATTGAGTGTGTTTGGTGTTAACTTGCGGTAAAGGATGAAATAAGTATTTCCAGTTTTGTCCCAGTTTAATGTTATGATGGGCTAATTTAATTACCTATTTTCTTTGGTTAAAATTTGTCAGTTCCTGCCTGTAAGACTACAACCTGAAAAGAATTGCATAAAGATGAAATTAGTTGGTATAGAAGGAGCCTGTTTTTTTCCACTAGTTTTGATCTGTTCATTGATAATTTGAGCTGATTTCAAACTGGATGCAGAAATGGTTTGGAGTAGACTATGAGGGCAGGCAGGGATTTTAACTTGACTACCTCATATATCTGGAAGCTGAGTCATGGGAACTGGACTTCTTTCTTGTTAGGTTGAAACATTTTGCTACTCATCCAAGTAGCTTCTTCAGTCTGAGGAGAGTTGGTAGGAGATCCCTCAGATGGAAAAAGCTACCTGGATGAGTAGCTAAACGTTTTTCAACCCAACACAAAAGAAGTCCAGTTGGCCATGACTCAACTTCCAGATAACCTCACCCGGATAACTGAGAATTTTCACAGATACTGTATATTTCTACCCCATATAGCTTAACATTATAATCAGGGTGGAAGGCAGGGAAGCATTATCTCTTCTGTAGGCCTTTCTTTTCTGATTTTGTGAGCTATTTTAGGGTGTATAGCAGAGGTGCAGTGCTGAAGCTTTCCTCATACAGAGGCCAGTACTTTAGAAAACAAGAGCAAATCTTTCTGGGCATTCTGCTGAATCCTTCTGTATGCATGAAAAGCCCTGGATTTCTTAAGTAGCTTTGTGCTAGTTCAGAGTTAATGTGACTGAGTTTGTCACAGCATGTAGTATGTGTTCATGTTGTTACAATTTCTAATTACAGCAAAATGAAATGAGGTAGAAAAATTCAATTAGAGCCACATGGGTTATCCTCATTTGCCATTGTTTTGAAATCAAACGGCTATCCATTAAATTCAAATGACTGTTATTGTAAAGCTAAAAAGAATTCTGCATTTTAAAAATATGTATTGGGGCTGGTTGTCGTCTGTATTGTTCCATATTGACTATTTGTTTTTGTTACAAATTAATTAGTGCTATAGGACTCCTTCAAATACTTCCACTTACGCACCTCAGATTTTAGGTCTTTGGTTGGTGAGAGAGCTGTACTGTAGATGACCATCTGATCTTAGTAAGTCAAAAGATACAGTGATGTGCAGTAAACAGTTATAACATACACACCATATTTAATACCTTTGAAAAAATCTTCCATTTATGCTTGTGCAAAAGACAGTTTTTGTGTAACAAGTCATGCTTGTATGGTGTTTATTTGGGTTTTAATTTGGGTTTTGATTGAGGTTATGATGCTCTTACTTCACTAATCATTACTAGTTGAAAACGCTGTGTTTGCCTTTGCAGGACACATTTGAACAGGTTTTGCGTTGCATCTACCACTCATTCGTAAACAACATTTCACCATGTGGAAAGGGGAACTTTCTTTGTATTCTTTGTACATGTAGAAAATTCCATTCATACCTGGTGAGCCTTGGGACTAAAATGTCTCATTATAACTTGAAGATACTAGAATATACTAGTTATAACAAGGCATCATTTTAAATCAACGCTGCTGAATTAACTAAATTGATGTGTCTGTGGCAGTTATAACAAGGCATCATTTTAAATCAACTTCAATTAATTACGTATTTCAGAGATAGTGAGCCTAATGCAGTTGCTTGTGGCACATATGGAACTGCATTAGATACTTTGATGAGTTATACTTACATGGGTGAACTACCCTCGTAGAGATTGTGGTAAGTATGTGTATAACACTGATGTTAAGTTCATGCAGATTTTGTGGCACATGTGGAACTGCATTAGATACTTTGATGGGTTATACTTACATGGGTGAACTATCCTCATAGAGATTGTGGTAAGTATGTGGTATAACACTGATGTTAAGTTCATGCAGATGTCATTTTCTGGCCTAAAAATTGTCTGTTAATACTGATGACTTCCCAGATAGACAGCTCTGTAAGCTCTAACTTGGGATACTACAAATTCTCTTATTTTATTTTATCTTATCTTGCCCTAGAGAAAGGTGTTAGAACTGGCATGGTCATATAGATCAAAAGCTGCACTTAATTATGGGGAAAGTACTTTTGCTAAATACAGTTTGTATTTACAAAACATATTTTGCTAAAGACATTTACATTGTATCAAAAATGTAAACTGTTAAATTGTAAAATACAAGGATGCAAAAGCTATCTGTGGGCCCCAGGCTATCAATATTGGATAATTAGAAACGAGATCATTTTAAAAATCTGTGTTTTGAATATCCTCAATGAACTGATTGTCTAGACAGCTTGTGTTAGGAAATATGGAAAAGCCACTTCCTAATCATTTGAATCTCATATCATGAAATCTTAACTGTGTAGCAGTGGCAGTCTATTTTTAGCAAACCTCTTGTTTTTCCCATCAGCTTTGTTTGCTGCTCTGTATTTATGAGTCTTCCTGGATGCTGCACAGAACCAATAGGTTTCAGACAGTAGCTTGGGTGATTGAAGATTTCTTATAAAACCAAGGAGACAGTAGTTGCTCCTGTTTAATGGGGGTTAGTGGTGTTCCATTTGTTGCAGCAAGGAATGAAATAAAATAAAATAGGTCATAGCTAGCACATAAAATGTAACTGAGCAAACATAGCCCTTGATGCTGCCACCTGGCAATCTAGGCTCAACATAGGATCTAGGGCCACTCTCAGATAACAAAAGTGAAATTATTGATAGTACGTGAGTCTAAAGGTCCAAGTGGCCTCCAGAGTTGTAAATATTGTGGCAGGTCAATCTTCATCTGCATTCTACATCTCCCACACACCGGGGGGGGGGATAAAAACATCCTAAATGCCACCCAAGCTAGAACCTGTGCAGAACATTTCATGTACAAAGTGAGAGGTCTGTGGCCTACACACGGCTCCGCCAGGGCTCCCTAGGCAGCACTCCCGCATACTCTAGTACCCACCAGGAGAATTAGTAATAATTTCCCCAGTCCATTCCTTGGATCTGTCTAAAGGAGTCTTAGTCCTATATTTTAAACTGATATATATGAATACAGATTATTAATATCTTATATTGAAGCACCACCACTTTATTGGTTAACAGAGCCATGAATGGTGTTTTTGAGACTGGGCTGTAATCAGTTAATGCTGCTGGATCAAGGAAATATTTAATAAAGTCTCTTACTAACGCCTCTTCCAAACTGCAGAGAGGTACTGATCACCTTGTTTAACACCCACATCAGTCTTATCTTGGCTAATGTAATCAGTAAGATAAATATGCAGTAACCCTCATTGCTTTGCAGTCCCCATCCTTCCGAAATACATGCAGG